TTTAATATATTCTTTGGTCACTTTTATTTAGAACATTTTGAATATTTTCAAATATTTGTATTGGCCTGTTTGCAAATAAATCCAAGCAACCTTCTAGAATATTTTGAATTATAAAATGTCTTTGAAAGTACATTCCTTAATATTTGTAATCAAATTTTTTACAATAAATGATGTATCTATTTAAGGATCAAATTATGAATTTTTTGCATATTTTTAAAAGCACTTAAGATCCCATTTTCAATTGTCCGCATATCACAATTTTCAAACATAATTAAGCACATTGCTGTTGATTTCTTGCAACCAATTGCATTAGTTATTTACAATTTGTTGCCACACCGCACACAGTTGTCAATTTCCAAATCGTTTTCCCAATTACTGAATCAACGATTAAGTCAGATGGAGGGAAATATTTCAATCAATTGGCTGTGCCAATAGTTTATCAATATCGTGAAGTTCTATACAGATACACTGCGTGGCGGCCAACGCTTTCGTTTTTCAATTAAGGCAACGTAGATTTATTTAATTTAAAGAATTTCATTTATATCATTTGGGGGAGACCAACCGCGATACGATGCGATACGAGCTACACACAGATACGGATACGTGCCGCGAATGAATGACAACTGGCGACAACTACAGCACGTATCTAGCGGATACTGGTGCGCGACTAACGAATAGCGAATAACGATCGACAATCTATAGTGCGATCAACGATCCACGATCCACGATCGACCGGCTGACTGAAGAGAGTCCCGCGTGAAGACTGAACGGCAAAGTCAAAAGCCCGCGGGCACTTCGCCCCGCCGATCAATTGCGCTGCACTTTTGAAATTATTTCAAAGCTGGCAACGTCGCTGCGCCACTTGCCGGCTCTCTCTCGCCGTAGCTCTCTCTCTTTCCTAAGCGATCTCCCTCTCTCTCTCGCTCTGTCTTGCAGAACAGCTGTTTCGGACACTTGTGGCTCGCTCGCCAGAAAGCTAATTAGCCACGCTCGTTGCCTGCCTTTAGATGTTTGTTTATTTATGTTTGCTTGCGGAGTCATCATGGGTTGACACTATATATGAGCTCTGTCTCTCTCTCGGCCAACCGCTTCCCTCTCTCTCTTTGGGTATATGGCTCTCTCTTTCGGATTAGTGCCGGGTTGACTCAGCGGTTTTCGGGAAGCGAACTCTGATACGTGATTGAAACATGTATTTGCTTTGATTGATTGAATTTCACTTATTATTGGAATTGGGGAAACTCTGAAAATGGTATTAAATGCTGTTCAAATATATAAAAAATATCTAAAGAATCTAAGCTTCCGTTTACTTTGACTTGAGCTTAAATGACCATAATTTTAGCTATTCATATATAAAAAAAACTAAGGTTAAAAGTTTATTGCTTCGACTGCAATAACATTACATAAATCACTGGGCATTTAGCTCCTTCTCACGTCTCACTAAACAAGTTGCCCCACCGTCCGTCCCCCATTTGCACGCCTCATGTGCAACCCATCCCAGGTTCGAGATCTTCTAACACATTTAATGCCAAGCCAAAGTTGTGTGTGCTCACTTGACAAGATCGCGACGACCTAAAAGGTTTCGAGACGCGAGCAATTAACATCTGAGCTACAAAAAACAAGCCATCGCAGATACAGATACAAAGTATCTGTATATCTGGCCGATGTCGGGCGTTGCGTTGAGTGTATCCATATCTATAGCTATCTGGCTAAGCGAGCGATCACGTCAAGCACACAGAAGAAAAAATAATGTAAGTCTTGGGGAGTGCAACTACAAAAAGATATCTACTATAACTCGGATATCATCATACTTTTTATCTGACATTTTTCTTTCTGTGCAGGCTTTGAGAAAATCAATTGAAGAACGGTCTTTGAAAGCCTCGCTGAACTCGCCAAACATAGAAAAGCGCTTTGTTTTCGCTGGCCAGGCCCGCAGAACGCTTTATAATTGAATTGAAAAGTGTGCTAATGCGACCAGCAAGCGCGTATCTCAGTATCTGGCAGATACCAGGTCACACACAACTGCGGGCTGAAAATTGCAAACATGAAAATGCATTCTCAGATCTGAAGATAATACCGCCAGAGGAACGTTCATTTAAATTCCCAACTCCCCAAGAATCTCACGGATGCTTAAGTGACAGAAAATATATTAATTATCGTTGTCATTGTAGAAGATATGGAAAAGCTTTTTGTTATTTTATGTGTGTCAATTTTAATTACCATATGCTTACAGGCATAATCTTAATTAAATAATGACTAGGTTTAGTATTTAGCATTCATATTTTTGTTGAATAGCTTTTAAAGTTGTTTAATTCAACATTTTCTATGTTTGTCAAGAAGATACATAGTTTATTTAAATAATTTCCTTTTCTATTCTTAGAGTCAAGCTGTGTTTTGAAATTGATTCGACGCTGTCAGCGCCTGACAATTCGCAAATTAATAAACCCATTAATATGAAAGCCAACAGGCGTAGGAATAAAATTGTGTTCATAAATAAATTCGTACGTACGAGCGTATATATGTATCTATGTATCTATGTATATCTAGTTGCATTTTGCTCGCATCTCATTAATTTAGGATAATTTCGAATGGCCAAAACGAACGACAGAGAGGGCAACAATCGATGGATGGCAGCAGAAAGAGACGGATGCCAGAAGAGGCAGCAAAAAGACGTTCTCAACCAAGAACGGAGCAACTAAGCCAAGCCAAAAGGGCAGGCTAAAAAGGCGGACAGCAACAACGTCGACGACAAACGGCAGCTAAAAGTATTTAGAATTTCTGGCATTTTGTCAAGTGTCGCCAAAACATTTCGCACAAAACACGCACGTGGAAGGGAGACGGGGCTAAGATATAAAGCGTGCGATAGAGATGGCGAAAAAAGGGCGGTGGGGCGGTGGGCGCTGTGTGTTGTTTTTGTGTGTACTAAGGCGAATCTTGCACTTGTTGCATTTGCGAAATTTGTGTGGCATTTGAAAATGTTTGGCATTTGTTTTTTGCACAGATACACTATCCCAAACGGGTACATGGACTTCATTTGCATATCATATCGATACCTTTTTCTTTAAATAATATTTTCAAATTTTATTCAACACTTTTAAATAATTAAAGGTTATTTTTTTCAATATTTGTTTATGAAAGGATGGTAAACTAACTTTTAATTTATTAGGTAAGCCATTTTTGGACACCAAAATATTTTAGTATTAAGTTTTTATGTAAAAGGGACTTTGTTTTAAATTGTTACAAAGGAACATTCCGTATTAACATTTATAAGAATTCTTATGTTTTGTTTGTAAGAGCATTTAGTATTTTCCATTTCAAAAATGAAATAATTTTCCCAGTTTATTATTTTCTGGTTTCCGTTTTGCTGGCTTCGGCAATTAATTTCCTGATAAACTAAGGCAAAATCAGAAATAAGTGCATTTTGACAATACTTTGACATTCGGACACCGTCCGCTAAATTGAACACCGGACAGTTTTGGTTGCAAAGCACACACCTCATTCATTTAGATTTTTGGTGGCGTTATTTGTTAATATTCTCGTTTATTAAATCGACGAAACCAAATGCAAACCGACTGATATGTTGGGAACTGAGAGCAAGATGCTCGCTCAGATGGGTGCCAATTTTTCGTTAATTTACCATAAAATTTCGCTGTTACGTATTTTTAATTTTGTGATTTATTTTTGTCACGCGTACACACACTTGACGCAATCGAAGAAAAACCCCAACAAAAATACAGCTAAAAGAAAATTTTCAAATGGTTTTTGGATTAGCCAGTGATATAGAGCAGATAAAAAAGTGTTTTTATTGGAAATAGAGAATACAACTATTTTACCATTTGATATTAAATGGAAATAATAAGTCATTAAATGTATTGAAACTTATTTCATGTATAAAAAAAAACTTAATAACATATTATCGAAACTTTTTCCCATCTCTAACCTTAGGTAGTTGGCCCCTTGAGCCACTTGTACACAATAAAGGAAAACCAAGGAAAGCAATTATGTAGGGGGTGAAGACAGAAAACACAAAAGGGAACAACAATCGATGGACATCGATGTGAATGCGAACGATGCCCTAAACATTTCCGCTGCACTCGAGTCAGTCCAAAGACAACAAGAAATGCCAGGAGTCCCTCAGACACACGCATACACGTATGCCAAAACGGAAGCGGAAACGCAGGGCATAAGTGGAGTGCAAGAAGGAGACAGAAGAAGGACATGCAGGGCAATCGCTTTCCGATTTCTGCGATAGGCAGAAACAACGATTTTCCGATTTGTATTTCGCAGTGAAAAGGAAGGCTACGGAAAGCTGTAAGTTGTCAACGTGTGTGATCGCTCATGTCCTTAAATAATTCTAATTATCAAGGTAAATATGTTTACCTATAAAGTTATTAGCTACCCCTTAAACCTTTCAGAAACTTTTAAGATATTTTAAAAGGCAAATCGCATAAATTTTTAGAAACATCTTTCAAACTTTGAGCTTAAACCTCTTTGCTTCCGAAAGTAATATTTCATTGCCACTCATTATTCTTATTGTTGAAATTCTTTGCCCGAACGACTTCAATGGTTTTTCCCTGTTCTTTTCAGCACATAACCTAATCGATTTATTGGTCTCACACAATCCAACTAATACCCGGACTGTAGCCAGTTAGTCGCCCCCCTCTACATATCCTTTCTTCTTTTTTTCTCTCGTTCTTTTTTTTTACTCGTCCTGTCAGTTTGAGCATTATTCATTTTCATTGCCGCATTCCCTGTTCGAACCTCGAATTCTTTTGCCTGCTTTGTTTTGTGTAATCAAATACAGACACTACACCCCTCATCTCCTTGATGCCAGCTTGTGATTAAGCCCGAAGGCTCGCACACACATACACTGCAGGAAAAAAGCGGGAACAGGCAATCAACTGCCAGGGGTAGAAGACAGACAGCAGGAGGAGGGAACGAGGCGTAGGCAAGGGCCAATATGCCCCGATAGGATACACGAGTATCTAAAGAGAAAAACTTACCGTTTCTGTTCTCACTATCCGCCGGCTTCATCTGAATGGGATGGTGCATCTGTCAAAGAGAAAGAGAAAAATGGAAGGAATAGTTAAAAAATGGCTAATAAGTATGTGATATGTGATTGGAAAGTCCAGTCCTTGGTTTAAGAGATGGTTCAGTGTAGTTATTGAATTGCAGTTTCAAGGATTTTATTTGGAAATTTTAAAAATCCATTAAGAAAATAAGGTGTGTTTATTCCAGCAGTTTTTGATATCCTTTTCTAAATTTATATATTAAACTACCAAAACCACGCTTCTCTTTAAACAACTTTATATTTTCTCCCATATTGACCAAACCTAATGCTAAATAGGTTAAACCAACAACCTTCTATGACTCCTTGTAGATCAACAATGATTTCATTAGTTTATTGAAGTGGTGTTCGATCTCATTAGATTTGATTTTGGACGGCAAATGTAAAGTGCTAATGAAATAGCTTTCGAAAAGGACCCAAAGATAAATGAAACAAAAAGGAAGAGGAGGAACCCATTTCATTAACGCCGCCATTAGCACTTGAAAAATGCAATTCAATGCGATGCTTTTAACAAGTTTCCCATTTATTTTACATTCGTTGGCCCAACTGATAAGGTCCCTGGGTCCTTTGGTCCTTGGTTCTGTCAGGCAGTGGCCATTACTTTGATTTCAATTAACTTTTCATTCAAACGGTTCGAGTAGCGGAAATGATAATAATAATACTTACAACGATATTAGAAAATGGAGCTTCAATTGCAAGAAACTTTTTTATATTTCTTTTTTTTTTTTGCATTCGTTGGCAGTGGCGGACTCTGAATGAGTGAATGATGTTCAGCAAATTGAAATGAAATGCTTACGGGTTGAGGCCGACCATTTCCACGTCCCTTTTCCAATCCAAAACCGGACAGAACCGGGGAATAGAAGTCAAAAGGCTTTTGCACAAATTACGAGAGAATGTCACCGCCTCTGGTACTTGGTCCTTGGTCCTTGTCCAGCCTCAGATCTACCCCCTCATTGTTGCGCCATTTTGCTGCTCTATTATTCAAAATTGACAGTTGAATGAGTAAAATGGCCGTCTGCCTTTTCTGGCATTTCATTTAACTGAACTGTCTGTCTGCTCTCGCCGAGAAGGACTGCCAGGAATAGTGTGGATCCGGGCAAATGTCTGTGTCGTGTTTGGTTTAGTAGAGTCCTGTCTGAGTTACCCTTTTCAATTTAATGGCATCGAGGCTCTAATGCGATTTATAGCAACTTACTATTTGGCCCTTTTCTGATTGACAATTAGCTGTCACAATATTATGGTTAGTTTTAGGGTTTTATTTAAATAAAAAAGGGGGAAATAGTAGAATCATATATACCTTTATGAGAGGCTTTACAGCACTGAATAAAAAGCATTATTACGTTTGAAATTTATATTTTTATTTAATATAATATTTAATTGAAAAAAAATTAATTAAATGTATTTATCTGCCTTTGTTAAAGCAGAAAAACATATAACATTTTTAATTAAAAGTTAAGTTAAATAATTATTTATTTGTTTTAAGGATATTTTTATTAAAGAATTTATAAAACTAGATTAAATTAAAATGCCAAATAAATAGGTGGTCTTTTTATAATTTTTTCAAGTTTAAAAAGTTAATTTTTAAATACAAAATGCTTTAAAATTACCCAAGAAATCGTTACCTTTTTGTGAAATAAATTTTTCATGGCATACTTTCAGGCTCCACACTTAAGTTTGCCATCTCACTCTGTCTTTTACTCCCTATCTCTCTCTCTCCCTTGGACGGCAACTGTGTCTTTTCACACGTGTCAAAAAATAAAGGGAAAGAAAAGGACACCGGCAGGACACTTAATACCTATACACACTCACACGGCCAGCAGTGGGCAGTTCAAAACAAAATATTTATTGTGGCCGAGCTTTTCCTGTCTCCACGTGTGAGTGTGTGGAAATGCGGACATTTTAACGTCTGTTTACCTATCGATTATTTCAGGTAAATTAAGTAGCTTCGGAGCTGACGAGGACCTCGATGTGGCTGTCGCCATCGATGTACGACGTCCGACGTCCGATGTCCTTTCTGTTGAGGGCAGTCTGCCAAATGCATTAAAGGATCAGACACGCTCACACCCACATAGTACGCATACCTGGACATTCAGGCAGGCACTTACTTACACAAACAAAGATCCACCACACACATACACACACACACACACACACAGAAACTATGGGAGTTGGGGGCCATGTGGTCATTATTTTGACAATTACACACGTGGCGCCATTTGACCAGGCTCCTGTTTCCACATGTGTGTATATGTGTCTATGTGTGTAGTCCCTTCCGCCCCCAAGTTGGATGTGTGAGTAAGGCAGGGTCCTTGTTTTAGTGGCAACCAAACGTTTCTATATGGATTTTCCATTAACGATTTGAATATGTAAATCATGGACGGGTGAGTGCCAACAGTGGTCTCGAACTCAATTTATTCGTTTGTTTTGACTTGAACCTTTTTTTTTGGTAAAGAATTTTTGAGATAAATTTTTAGTTTGAAAAATATATTAACATAAATCACTTAATTTTATTTGGAGAATACAAAATCAAGAGAAACCTCTATTAATGGAAAGATAATTAGAGTTATCTCGCATATTTTATGTAATATTTATAAGACTTCTTTGTAAAGAATAAAAATCATTCGTTTTTCTTTAATTTATAAGTATTGTTTTCATATAAATGTCTAGTAAGCTATCACTGTTCCACTCAGTGGATATAACCATCCGGCCATAGCCCATTCCGGATCGAAGCCACTCTCTCTCTCTCTCTCTGTCTCTGCCCCCTTGGAATCTTAGTCTGTTTGCTTGTGCGTGGAACGCTTCATTTAATACGTTAACAATGAGATTGTCCTCAATAATTGAATCCACTAATTGACTGATGATTACATTTTGTGTTGGCCCTGCAACAACAGGCCGGGATCCGTCGCAGGACCCTGTCGCTGGCCGCCCAATCTTCCCTCCCCCAAAAACCATGCATGGAAAGTATGTCATCGATCGATCGGGGTTCGCAAGCGGTTGGCTTTCTCAAGCTGTATTATTCAAAAGGGCGTACAAACAGTTACTACACTTGCTATAAAGTCATATGTGTGTATACACACACACACACATACAGCACGCAGACACACGCACACACATACGCAAGAATACGAAAAGAAACGCACACATACACGGACATAGAGAACAGGAAAAAAACGGGCAGAACTCAAAAGCTACATAGATGATATAAGAATGAGATTTTTGGGGAGTATCAGTGTATCGGTGTGACTGTGTGTTTGTGTGGGTGGAGTGGGAGTGGGATTGGGGTGAGGTCAATGTAGGGGATGTACTTACCCCGTCCAAGGTCTTGATGTTGTGCAACGCATCCTGGGCGCGCAGGGCGGCCTTTCTTGTATAGTAGGTGACAAAACAGCACCCTGCAAACAAAATGAAACAATCGAATACAAATCGAATACAAATCAAACGAATCGATAGACAGTTGCAGACAAGAACATATGATACAGAACGAACGTACTATATAAAATATATATACAGAGGAGCCATTGAAAAACCAGCAACAAAATATGAAATCGCTTGAAAGATCGCCTAAAAGTAATCCATATTTCTTAAGAAGCATAGTTTTAGGCACTTTAATGGGCGATTTGAAATCTGTTATGTTTTCCTATGGCCTCTGATGGATTTATCAGATGCATAACTTCTTAAAAGAAACATATTCTTGTTAAATTCACTAGATTTAGGGTATATTTTATCATGCATCTGGGACAGTTTAATCGAGGCTTAAGGCTAAATTTATTTAATAATAGATTCTAAATGCAACAAGGCTTGGCATGCGGATTTTTTGTTGGACACGAGACGAGCGCTTCATGCAAGCCATGCTAAGAAAATGAAACAAGGACAATATTAAATGGGGGACTATGACTGAGTTAAGCTAGAGGTATGTAGATTCCTTTTAATATTATTTAAAAACCAAAGTCCCTGTGAACAAATGTTTATATATATTTTTTTCATTAAAAAAGTATATTATAAAAATAGCCACAAGGTTAAAGTTAAAGATCAAGTTAAATAATAATAAACTCTTCTCTCTAACCAATTCTTTATTAGCTTCTGTACCTTAGTTTCCAATATACTTAAATATCTTTAATATAATAGTCTTCTATTTCCTCCTCTCTATCCATAAATTTATTTCTATCGGATTACTTATTGAACTTCCGGAAAGTTGCTGCTTGAACCCTGCGTCCTGAACCCATTTAAGCTATCCACAGGTCCATTACGCAGATTAAATTATAATCCACCTCCAACAATGCTGCCCACAACCGCACTCCTGGCGGCTATCATCGTGTTAGCCGTGTGCTCGAACACCTTGCTCCAAGGATTAATCTACATCTACCCATACGCAACCCCTCTAGAGTCTGGACCATAAATATGCATAATGGAATTTACCTTTTCGCTGGCGAGGAAAGTTTGCAAGCAAATGCGCATATTATTCTAATACAGCCAAAATTAACCAGAGCAACATGCTCGTGAGCTACAGGATACAACATCCTGCACTCGAGTGTGTGTATGTGGGCATGTGGAAGTTTTTCCCGTTTATACACGCACAATTATGGCCAATTACCCCGGCCAGAGCCAAAACTTTGGCCAGCAGCCCTCAACACCTGGACTGGGAGGGTGCAAGTTTTAATGTTGATGCGTTCGCCTCGCCATCAGCATAATCATATTACTTGATGCTTAGCCCGGGGACGCAATTGATGGACATTGTAAAATTTGATTGAACCCCCGGCTAATCCGTACATTTGTATGTATGCCCATGGAAAGGCCTTATGTTACTTGCTGTTTGGTACACTCACCTCGGCTAATCGACGTGACCTTGTCCCGCAGGACATTCAGCGTGTGAACGGGTCCAAACTGCTCGAACATCTGCCGGAGACGCGGCTCATCCCAGGTCTTTGGTATTTGGCCAACGAACATCTTGATGTTGTCTGCATCCGGCTGATCCTTGCTGGGATCCGGACTGTTTGTCTCCATGATCACAAGCTCGGATTTGATGGAGAGCTCATCCATAGGACTGTGGTCACTGGAATTACAATTTAGTAGAAATATTTTAAAGCAAGATTTGGGCACAAGTATCTGCATTAACCTTAAAAAAGAAAATGTAACATGAAAATAATGTGCAGTGTTCTTTAATTTATAGACCTTTTTACATAATTTCTAAACCTCTTAATATTTAAAGAAATATCAGAAATTGACAATTAAATTTTTAAAATTTTCGGTAAATTTCCTAAAAAGCATATTACTGTTCTATGATGGATTTCATTAAAATTTGCTTCAAGTCAGGTGGCTTTTATTCCTCTAGCTTTGATTTCCCAAATTTTTTCTTGGATTTTGCTTTCTTTTCAGGTTCCTCTGGGGCCTCATTGATAGTTTCCCGAGCTGATGAAGGTTGCTTAGGGGGCGGATCTGCTGACGAACGCTCTTCAGCGACAGCAGCTGGAGGAGGAGGAGAAGGAGGTGGTGATGGCTTAGAATCCGAGGAATCTCTTGGATCTTCATCTCGAAGGACATTGTAGGTGGGCGTAGTCATGCATAGATCGTTTTTCGCCCCTTCCTTTCCCGGGAAACTGGGCTGAGTGCCCAACTTGCCCATCGATTGGGCGGCACAAGAATGTGCAGCAGCGATGTGGTGCTCCCGTGGGAGTTTTGGAAAGCGGGTTATGTGATAGGCCAAGCTGCCCACGAAGGCATCACCGGCACCAGAGCGGTCCGCCAGGTTGGGCACATCGGCGGCTGGAACATGGGTGCATACGAGCTCCTTGTCTTTGTCTTCTTGCTTGTCCGTGGCCTTGTCCTTGTTCTTGGCCTTGTCCTTTTTGTCCTTTGTCATGTGAACTGCACCCTGGTCCCCCATTGTTATGATCACGCTCTTTGCTCCCTTGGAGAGGATGGTCTCGGCCGCCTGCCTGGCCTGCTGCAAGGTCTCCACCTTCTCCATATCAGCCAGCTGGGCGGCGGCTAACTCGTTCGCCACCAAAATGCTTGGTAACTTTATGAGGTCATCGGGTATATCCGGTCGCAGGGGTGAAACATGCAGAATAGAGAATCCCTTAAACTGACGCAAGGCGTACGTCGTAAGCCGCATGTTTGTCTCCAGTTGACAGAGGAGGACTTTTGCCCTTTTGAAAGCATTCTTTGCATTACTCACGTCCTTGCTGGAGAGGGAGGCATTCGCACCGGGCACATTGATCGTGTAGAACTCGCCCTCCTCCGAAGCGGCGATCTCACTCATGCCCGTGGGACAGTCCTTCACCTGGCGTATGTGCTTCACTTCCACCGATAGATTCTCTAGGTATTCCAGGTATTCGTCGCCGGATTTATCCTTGCCCACTTTGGCCACCAGAGCCGTGGAGGCCCCCAGTTTGGCGGCGGCTACACACTGGTTGGCCGCCCTGCCGCCGAAACACGTCTCCATATAGGATCCGGTTACGATTTCCCCGGGTTTCGGCAGCTTCTCCACATGTCTGAGGGATTTATTTATTAGGAAACTTATAACTAATAACTAATTTCTTCAAGATCTCCAGTTTCAAGCTCACGAAATGTATTCAATGGTAACAGCCCCAAAGGCCAGGACATCCAGCGACTTTCCCATCTAGACGGCAATTTGGATAAGTATTTCTTTACAAATTTTCATAGAACATTTCATGACTGACGTTTACTGATAAGAAAACTATGGAATATTCCATAGCATTTAATTTAAATAAATCTATTAATTTGCAATCCCTCACTCGCATATAAAGTGATTACAAATCCCGACTTGATGTTCACAACTTTTCCATTGAACTTTTATGGCCAACATATTGTTTGTTGAACCCATCTTTGCCCTCGGTTCCTAACTTCATTTGCTAATGACCATAAAAAACAGAGAATTAGAGACAACCAGCACAGTCTCCACTTCTGAACCGAAGTTGGCTAACAGCATAAAATACAAATACTAATTGTTATTAGCAAACTAATCTAATCTAAAAAGTTGTAAACGTTTTTACTTTTGTTTTGTGGTTTACCAGTCTCTGAATCCCTGTATACGAGGAGGGAGTTTTGCCAGGACTCTGCAGTCTGGAGTCCAGAGGGGAAGTGGGTCTTTGAGTGACTGGCAACGCATTGAACGCTCCACTTTGAGGTCACTTTCCGTCGGTTTTTGTGTGCTGCCGAAAAAGTTTTCCCTCCTTTCCCTGTGCCCGCTTCCCGTTTCCCAGTTTTCCGGCCGATGTTGTTGCTCCTAATGGGGCTTTATTGGGTGCCCTTGATGGTGTACGAAATTGACTTTTGACTTTTTTTACCGAGCTGATTTGCCGTGAGCAGAAGTTGTCAAGCAGTTGGCCCAATAAATTTTAGCACTTAATTGGCTAAGCGGGTTAGTGGCGGAGTTAGTGCTGTGACAGAGGAATTTTCTGATTGATTTAATGGGAATTGTTGGGATTATTTGAAGATTTTATACTATATAGAGGGGAAACGTATAGCTGAGATAGAGGAAAAATCTAGAAGCTTTGTGAAAGAGGAAGTATTAAACTGATGATGATTTATTTATAGTAATATTTTATAGTCATTTATAGACTTTTCTTAACTTTAAAATATTATAATAAAACTGACTGATATATTATAGCAATAAAAGGTTTTTCCGCAAAGTTCCTAACATAGTACATTAAGTTTACAAACAGAGAACACAAATTAATGTAATGGCCATGTATCCGTTTTTCCCTTCGTACTTATCTCCGATCTGAATACGTAATGCAAAACAATTTATGCAGCGCATACTTTTAGGCTGGCAATTGAAATTTCCATACATCTCCGCCCAGAGGATGAGACAGAGAATGACACTGTTCGCCCCCCATTTCGGTTTCATTATTAACTCAAGCTATCTCACGGAGTCATCTGAAACGATGCCATTTAGGAAATTACTTCCAATTTACTTTTAAATTTCTTCATTTTCCAATTTCCTGCGTAAGTAATTCCAGCGCTTGCAGCAGCCCGCCCCATTCATCCACCCCACCTCATGGGCTGTTGCTTACTCCCTTTTATCCAGTTATGAAAACGCCACCATTTGCCGAGATGAAAGCCCCGTGACACTCAGCGAAAAGGATCTGAAAAGCGCCAAGGCAGCCGCGGGCCATCGAATGACAAAACGTTATTAATCTATTAGAGCCGAAACGAGGACGAGCCAAATTGTCTATGCCAAGGTGATAAATTCAGGCCTGCCTGCCTGCAGGTGAATAATCTGAGATGGGACCCGGGTAATCATTAGGGGAGTGCTTAGAATTAGGGGAGGCAATTTTTTATACAATTTATAAACACAAATAGCTTTTAAGGAAAGTTTTTGAATAATCTTTTATTTCGTTATTATAATAAATGATATAAAAATAATATTATTTAAGAAATCCAAATACAAAATGTAAAATCAGTAATATTAAAAAAAAAAAAATAAATAAAATCTATCGATTATTTACAGATTATTTATTTTATTTTTTTAAGACCATCCCTAAGTCAAATCCCAGTGGATACACCCTCGTGATAGATAGCACTTCCGGTGCCTGCAGCATAAATCTCTTAACAGAAGACACTTACGCATCAAGTGTGTTAGCCTGAATTTAAACAAAAAAAATCTAAAAATAAAACCAAATAATATAGGAGGAACGCTTGAAAACAAGGGAGAGGGACGCTGCGACAGGTGTGTTGCCCCTGGAGTCGGGCAGGCAATTATTTGAGGCAGGCGCCAATCCTTGGGGGAGCCAGGTGAGCCCCCAGCTAACTATCTCTCCTCCTCTCGGTGTCACTTCTCACCATTCGTTCCAGCGAATCCTCTCCGTTAGCAAAGAGCTCCTTGGCGGTCTCTCGGGGCTGCGCCTGTGCATTAATAATTCAGTTTCATTTAAATGCGACCAGGGCTTAATGAGAAAATCGCCTGCGGTGGGAGCTGAAGCGCGTCAGAAAGTGAGCGGCGATGGGGTGTGTTGGGGATTTGGCCCACAGGACAGCAGGTGTTTTCCAGCATCACCGCCAATGAGCTTGACGATGATGCTGATGACGATGTTGTATAGCGGCTCAATGCGCGAATCAACAGCTGGAGCCTCAGGGTGGTTTCGGTGGCAAAGGTCTCCGAGCCGTGGTTCTCAATTACTAAATATTTGTATAATATTCTTGGAACTGATTTGTTATTTTCGTGGGTTTTAATTCAAAGGAATATCTTATTTGTATTTTATGAAAATTCCTTGCTCTATCAACAATCGTTCTCCTTGGCCAAACACTTTATCTAGCTATCGAAAGGCACTTATTTTTTAATAACTTTATTTTTAACCCACTTAATAACCACTGTGCATTGTGGCGACACTGCCCTGACGTGGCACTTAATTTATGATGGCAGTTTGTTATGCCGCGCCTGTCACAACAAAAACAAACAGCTCAAAGATAGAGGAAGCAAAAACGTATATATGTATTTAGTACATTTACAAGAAGAAGTGGAGCAGTCAGAGAGGCTGGGCTGGGCGTATAAAAATGACCCAACATAAATTTAATAATTCCAGCTTTATTATTTAATGACCGAGCACGACAGCAGAAAAGGCCGGATAGATGATAGTTGAGTTTCCGACGAGCATCATCATCATCATCTTCCAGAGTATTACGACGATGCCATAATATTATAATTACAATGTCCTGTCAATAATCATTCGCCATTATCGCCAATGACTTGGGCTATGTGAAAATTGTCGCCTTGATGGCTGCTGCCAATTAATAACATTAATGCAATGCCAATTATCATTAGCCACTTGATGGCAGTCGCGACTTGGTCTCATCCCTTAAATACATATCTCCCCATCACGATTACTTATTTTAATTAAATCAGGCTGAGAAGTGGGCCGCCGCCGCCGAGCGAACGGTGAGAATTTCTTTTTTTATAATTTCCGGCAAAGGAAGCGCCCGCAAATAGAAAATGTAGCGCACGTCCGAGAAATAACCATTTGAAATGTGATAGTCAAAGTTGTCTAGGGGGGCGACTGGGCTGAAGGTGGCAGGTGGGCAGGTTTACAAGTGACGTCCTGCCAGGCTATAGGAAATTGAAATGTTCCATAACGGCAAGGTAATATGCAAAGTGATAAGAAATCAATTTGATTGGTCGAAACGGACTAGGTCTCCTCGAAGGAGTAAGGCAATTATGAGAATTTTCGTGTTAAAGTTTAATTTCGATGGAATAATAAAAAATATAAATAACACTTTTATTGTGTTCTTTTTGGGTATTATTATTTATTAACTTAATACATCCCACAATTAAGCCTTGCAAATCCTTCATCTGAGTACATTAAAGATTTTCATGCATTTTCCATAGCTAAATAAAGCATTGCATACTTAGCATCGCCGACTGAAATTCGAGGTGTAATTTGCCCTGAAACTGGATTTGCATTCACCCGATTTAGCCGGGAATTCAAGCCCCCTGAAGCTACAAATCATTAACGTGTAATTAGGAGTCATTAGGAGGCACAGAGAAAAAAAAAAAAAACAGGGAACCTAGTTCGAACTCACCGATTGGGAGGAGCTGCAACTGCGGGCTGTTCGCCTAATGAAGTTCTGGAATTAATGCTGGAATTCGACGTCGCTGCTGCGGCAGTTGCTGCTGCTCCCGCTGCTGCTGCTGCTGTTGCGGTTGCTGCGGTGCCGGGTGTTGCTGCTGCTGCTGCTGTTGCAGCAATTGCTGGTGGCGCTGTGGGGCTGGAATTTATTTGGTTGTGCAAAAGTGTTTCAAACAATGTCGTCGACATTTTTGCCGCTACGGCTGCTGCTGTTGCAGATAATGCTGTGATGTTGCTGCTGTTGCTGTTACCGTTGCTGCTGTTGGGCCGCAAATACGGATGGAAACTTTTTGCAGCGCCTGTGAAGGTTGTTGTCGCTGCAATGGCACCTGAAGTTGCGGTCGAGCTCGTTAGATTCTCTAAATACTCGTACTGAAGTTGCTGCTGCTGCTGTTGCTGGCTATTGTTGCTGCTGCTGCTACTTAAATTGTTATTGCTAAAAGGGCTATTGTTGCTGTTGCTGCTGCTGTTGGAATTGCTGTTGTTGCCATTAGCAACATGGGCAACAGGTGCGGTTGTTAGCATTGTTGTAGCACCTCCCGGGTCGCTAGTTGCCTCCAATGTTGCTGCTGCCGTAGCCGTTGCTGTTGCAGTTGCCGCTGCTGCTGCTGAAATTCCACTCAGTTTATCCGCCTGCAGATTCAGGGATTGCAACATCATTTATTACAGCTCTGTTTTTGTTTCTGCACTGCGCCGCGTCCTGCCGCTCCTGTCGCTAATTACTTTTAGTGCCGCATTTGGCGTCGCCTGCTTTTTAATTTGCTTCGGGTTTTAGTTTTATTAAAATTGTATATTGTCCCGCTCTAACCCTTTTCGCTTATCACAGTTTTTTCCCCTCTCAATTAGCCTCTGCGTTTGCTTCTGTCGTTTTTTACCCTTTTGGGAGTTGGTTGAGCTCGAGTTTCAACTGTAATTAAATTAAGAACAAAGTGTGGACTGATTAAAAGACATGTATTTACAGTTGAAGAAAATGCATTATTAAGTGGGGGGATGTGTGTTAAATATAAGTGGATAAATTAAGTGGGGAATGACATAATCGTAGAAATTAAAGAGCGAGGGGGCTCTAATACTTTTTTAGACATTACTTTATCTTTTAAGTATTCTCTTCGAATATTTGAAAGTTTGTATAAAAACTCTTACTTAATCAAGATGAAATACCATTACTGAAAAATGCGAAATCTTTAATTTCCAGTAATGAACATCTCTAAGACCCTTGCTCATTTGTATTTATTAATTTTACAAGTATCCCCCAAAGAAACCGCAGTCAAAATGGCTGCCGGATCCACCATTACCACGCCCTCTTCGACTGATCCCATGGCTGGCCAACTGCATAGCTAAGCGTATTTGAATGAAAGGCATATTGACTGACGGACTGACGGACTGACGGCCTGACAGAGTGACCGCAGTACTTGGATCCACTCGACTGTCTGCATTGAAGTACTCGCTTTGATATACACATAGATACAGGCATAGAAGCATGTAGCATGTAGTGTGTATATACACAGTGCATGTATGTGCACTGAGCAAAATAATAGACAGTTTTAACACAAACAATTGGTATTTATATAATAGTTCTTTTCTTAGAATTTTAGCAGGTTGATCATCTGCCAAATATTATCCTTTAATAGTAGCATTAGATTATTAAAAAATAATATTTTAAGATACTATCAGTAAAAATAAAAACTAAAACCATGAAGAATCTGTCTTTTGCTTGGATAAATTTACCAACATTTTCTTTTAGCTCAAAAAATTTAATTTTAGCCCTTCTTCTCTTGGTTTTCGAGTAGAATTATGTTTGTGAAATCGTTTACTTTTAAGCATTAAACTAAAAGTTACATTAATATATTCAGAATCAGTATAAATGCATTCCCAATCAAAGCTAGTATCCTCCTTTTCCAGTGATATAATGTGGGCAGCTGACGCTAAACAGATAAGGATTTCGAGTGCACTCGCACAGTGAAGAGGCAGGGCTCAGTTGGCCGCATAATGTTGAAGGCTCTAGCTAATTAGTTAAATTGAAATCAAATTATTTGTTGTCGCACTTGACTGGCCACAGGCATGGGCGCCTTAATTAACGCGCCTGCACATACACGGATTTCTATAGATATATAGGAGCAGTAGGTGGTGGGTAGTTAGAGGGGAGGTGGCTGTATACACATAGTGCACACTGTACTGGCAAGGAAACCGATAATGGTTAGCCTGATTGCTTTATGCAATGGCTAGCTGCATTTAAGGCGGAAATAATACGGTTCAAGGCATTTTGCCAATGATTTCTGGGATTTTTAGCACTTTGATATACATTTTGCAACTTTTTTAACGTTTTAATTTAATCTATAAATGGGTTTTTACACTCTTAAGAGAGTTAATTCATTAGAAAACATTTTTTATAAATGTTTTCCTAACCCTTAATGCTGAAATATATCTTGCAAAAAATCTCTATCCTGTTTAACTCTTTAAGAAGTCCACAGTTTTTCAAGAATTTACCACCATAAAATCAAAATTCACTTTGGAAGTACACCCTCACATTTTGGACGAATTTCTCTTGTATTTTCCAGATAATCGCCGCGTAGCTCGCCGGTTTTTCTATTATTTTTTAATATTTTCCAACGCTTGCATATTTTCGCGCTTTTCTATTTACGTTCCCCGCTTGTTTATGTTCGCAGCGCGCGCTCTTTCTCTCGTGTTTTGTTTTATTTTTTTGTTTTTATTTTTTTGGCTCCGTCTGCTCCTCCTGGCCGGCCACTGGCAACTTGGCAACTGTCGCCGCCGTCGCAGTCGCCATGGCCAACGGGCATCATCCGCATCATCCGCAGCGTTGGCGAGGCGTGCCGTGGAGAGCTTGTTGCATCCCCCCCGCTTTGGCTTTTCTCCCCTCGAAGCGTGTTGGGATGGCAGCCATCGGTCTGCCAGCGGCATGCTTGTGCTTCTGGCCCCCTAAAATACACCCAACCCCAATATCCTGGCTTCTGCGGATCCTTGCCACTTGCCACGCGCTTATCCCAGCGTCATCAAACGATGTCGACGACGCCAGCATCGTTAGAGTGAGGGTATCATGTTTTTAGGGATATGACTACTTGGGGGGGATGTGTAAAATATTTTAGAAAATTGTTAAAGGCATTCAAACTAATTTTTGAAAATTAAATGTATTTCCATTATCAGCTCTCCAAACTGAAGCTTTTATAAATATTCACAAAATAGGGTATGAGGCAGTCGTCTATGTTCTCTGCATGATTACCCCCTGGCTGCTGCATTATGAGCAGTTATCGGCGCTGTTGCTTCCCCCCATAGACGATGTGGATGTGGATCCTGCAGCTTTAACGCACTCCCTGGCTACAGGATATCAACGACGAGAAGCAACCAGCTGTGCCATCCTCGTCGCTGCTGCTGTCACCTTGTAATTTTATTTATCTATTGATTATTGAGTATCTCTTTTCTATTTATTTGCCTTTGTTTGCCCACGCAGCGTTGACAGAGAGCCACCCCCAAAAGCCATAGCTCAACCTCAACCCCTCATGGCACCCTTTGGTATTTTTATTAAGCCAGATTCCTATCCTCCCGTGTGTGGGTGGGTGTGGGTGTGGGTGTCCTATACTGTGTGTTATGTGTGCCCCTGGCTGTTTTTTAATTAACTTTAGTGACAATATTTTGCACAGCAGCAGCTGCCTTTGAAAAGCCCCCAACGATACACACAGAGAGAGGAAGAGAGATAATCAAACTTTGCCCATTGTATGCAAATGTGGGCAATACACTGAGTTCGGGTCGTGTTCTTCATACTAGGTTCTAGGTCCCTGGGTCCACTTTGACCCCAATTCTCGGTGTTTTCTCTGTCAGCGTCTTGCCATTCTGTCATTCTGACAGTTGACATTTCGTAAAGATGTCACTTGTCCATGGTTGCATTGTGCCGGAGCACCGAGAGTCGGTACCCACACATGCCTCTGGTTCACACATCCCCATATGTCCGATCCAGATTGCTGCTGCCCTCTCCGCGTTTCCCATTCACTTGTTGAGCGGTTTTCCTTATCTTATCTCGAGTTTTATACGTTCGTTCCTGTGTTTGCTTTATTGTGGTTCTTTTTTTTTTGCCTTTTTACGTAGTTTTTGGAGACAATATGGTTCGCCCTCGGATATGTACACATAAATCCAACATAACTGGAGTTGGCAGACCCGAGATGAACAGGTTTTTATCTTTAGTTGCAGACAAACTTTGGATAGTTTTCGCGTTACCCAAGAATTATGACTAATTGGTTGAAAAAAAAATGTAGAGAAATGACTAAAGAGAAGTGGTAATAATACACATGTTAAGTGTCACAATTTTCTAGTAAATTGGTAACCTTTTTTCAATGAGTTAAAGTAAGTGTAATAGATTTAACATTATGTTTTAAATACCTCTTAATTAGATATAAAGTGTAAGTTTAACAAAAGATTCAATTATTTGATAAGAAAAATACACCAAAGCTCAAGTTTGTTTGTTAAAAATTCTAAATCGGGTTTCAAATTTAAAATTTCCAGCCATAACCAGCTCTTACTCACTTTCAAATTGCCTCTTTTTTAAGGTATCCCTCATATATAGGTCTCTTTGAAGACGTTTCACTTGTTACATGAGCGTTTCTTAGAATTTTCACACACCATATGCCACCATATTCATATCAAGTACATTTTATCTACAGATATCGGGGTAAATCAATCAGGTAAATCACTCGGCATGCACTCGCGAGTTGCACTGATCGAAATTGCTTTGAATAAATCGAAATCGGAAGAGTTGACGAAGGGAAACAACCGCACGTAGACGCCAACGGAGGGCAACTAACGAAGCCGAAATTCCAATTCCGATTTCATAATTCTCTGCCACAAAAGGTGTCCTCTCTCTTGCTAGATATATATACAACGTGTGTTATCTGGTTACTGATAAGGGCCTTATCGCATAATTGCCCGCTGATTGCCGCCAGGTAAAAAATTTCACCTTCTCTCCGGAGTCAGTTTTCTCTGGCCAAACATTTGCTCTCCAAGGAGAGAGAGAGGGATAGTGAGGTGTTCGCCGCCGCGCTACCGAGTCAAGTCGAAAATGTTGGCTTTGTTTGAGTTTCCTATCGCTATCGGGTTGTACAGGTTGTCGAGCTCTTTAATTGAATATCTTATCGAGAGCCCCAAATCGCAGGGGGGAAGGAAATGCCCTCCATCGGATCCCGCTTAGCCAGGCAAACACACATGACGAAACACGGGATATACCGGGAACCTCTAGCTTTAACTACATCTATTCGAGTAACTGCAATTGAACTTTTTTTTAGCAGCGAAAAAACTCTCGACTTGGCGCTCGATGTATCCGCACTATAATGCTCATAAATATAAACTAAACCCGTGCGAGCGGCCGCTCTGAATTTATATATGTACGGGGATATATCCGTCGGGTCGGTCCGTGTGTCTGCAGGGCCATTACACAAATACCAGGAGAAATGGAGACCAATGAGCTTGCCACGTAGCCGAAGTATCGATGGGTTTCGAGTGGGTGACTTGTGGGGTCGTGTGACCGGACAGCCGTTCTCGGCCGACACACATACACCCCGCGTATATACTATATACCATGTATAGGATATATAGGATATATAGTATGGCATAGAGTGGTTAGTGGCCGCGAAAGAAAGCAGCCTTCCCTAGCTCTGTTTGTCATTGTGTGCCATCGAATTATAATAAGCGACTATTTAGTGGTAAATGTGTGTCACTTTACATATGGCCCAAAACCAGCTTTCTCCCTTGCTCTACCTTCTCCACCCAGCAGATAATTATGGGGTTGTGCCAGCTATGGTTGGAATCGAACAGGGAAAAAATCGAAAATTCAATTACATATTCATGGCTTTAGTTTATTTCTAGGGACTGTTACATCAAGTGCTACGAGGGCTTCCAGGAAACTGCTTAATTCAGAGCCATAAGTTGAAACTAGATAATTGGAAATGAGAATAAGTTTAAATTAAAAATTTAAATTCAAAATAATCCCACCTTCTCGAGCACTTCATTCACAAATTTTCCTTTAGCTGATAAAAACTGCGTGTTGCCCTATTTAAATGGAATTTGCCAATAATGTGAAATAGTGTCAGAACTCTTGAAACAGATTAGTTAATCCGCTTAATATGTTGTACACTGAAAGGCTATGTAAAGATAGGAAAACCATTAAGGTATACAGACTGCAGGCAACCAGTATTGTATATATAATCCCCCATTCTCGGCGGGTTTAAGCCGAATATAAATTAACTTGGTGATACCAATCTGCTGCTGCTTATCGGGAGCTGAGGCCTGTACCCAACTGTTTGCCATTATATCTAATCTGAGATTCTTATCGCGAGCAATTACTCCGTACTTCCTACGACACCTCTCTACCCGAGAATCCCCTGGAATCTCTAACCCATTCCACCCACAACATGCGACACAGATACAGTGGGTCACATCTGCTCAGGCACTGTGGTTGGTGCACAGGTAAATGGCTGCCATAAAAGTTCAGTCATTGAATTCAAAGATATATGAGTAAGCGAGTGTATATATACATAGTTCCTTTTGCTTCATTCATTGTTCTTTTTGGCACTGAAAAAAATTATTTAAAATTATTGATAGAAGAAAAGAAATATTGTCTTTATATTTTACATCTTTTATATTAATCATTGTACTATTCCCCAATATTATTTCAAGTCTGTCTTACATTTCACAAATAAATAAATAAAACAGTTTTCACAATTTTTAAAAACTTTTCTCCAAGTGTCAAATGTGTGGCAACTGGTAACCCTTTTTTGTTCTTGGGCTTCGATTTTTTTCGTGTCCTCATTGCTCGCTCCTTCTGTTTTGGCTGACCCCGAATGTCGATCAATATTGAATTGAATTTGACCAATGGCTAAAGCCACGACTCGACTCCACTCAGTCAGACATTTCTGCGGCCACGGGCTAGATGTTAATGTTATTTAATAATTTACTCGATGTTCGGCTTTTCGGGAACACAAAATACAAGTTGTTTGTGGAGACTAAATATTAAATGCAACCGAGTTTAACTCCTTCGTGACAGGGAGGGGAGCTCTCAGTTCCAATAATATTATTAGAAACTCAACTGGAAAATCGAAGAAGTTAAAGAAGCCACAGGAATGCGGTTGGAAATGCAACAAAAGCCAAAACACAGTTTAGTGGTTGAATAACGACAACAGCAGGAGCCAGGACATGGCGCTAGTCCTTTGGGGAGGGGGCGGGATGTACGTATACCAAAAACCAACCGACCGAAAGACCGACAGACAGTGAACTACTAATAAAGCCAGGTGAGCAAGGTGTACAGGACAGAGCGGGGGACTCCGCACAAAAGGAAGCACAAATAATATAAATTAAATGTGGGCAAGATGCCGCCCCAGGCTCCTCCGACTCCCCGAAAGAAAAGCAAGCTGAGTAATTATTTCCGGCAGGGTGGGCAGGGGCAGGACTCGGAGGGGAAAGTCCTTGCGGTTTGACTGCAACACATGGCCGGACACTTAAACCAAAGTGTGGCAAACGGGGTTGGAAAATCTATCTGGGCAATAATTTCGGTTGACATGCTTGCGGTAATTATTGACCGTAATGACAAAACCGTATACGAATACGGAAAATGGAAGCCGACTCGTCCGTGTCCGTGTCCGTGTCCGAGACCGAAACCCTGACAAATTAGTTTTAGTTTTCGGGGTCATCTGCTGGCCGGTGTGTTGCTACTGTTTGCCTTCCGCTGCTAATTGGATACTATTTTATGGACCGACCCACCGACTGGACTGGACACCAGCTGATTCCTGGGTTCTGCATAAATTTGAGGCTGCTTTCCCTCCTGAAAACCTCACCCCTAAAGCAAATAAAAATTGTCAACGTATAGTGAGAATCATAATTTAATTCCATTCCTCTTTTTATTTGCATTTGATGCGGAAGATTTATGGTCGCCTGGCCTATATATAGCGATTTTAATGGAACATAGCTGTCGAACACAACACAGACCGAGAGTTTGTCCAAAAACTAATTAATAATTTCTTGTTGCTTTTTTTCTATCGCCTATTTTCGGATGGCTCTCTTCTATCTATGCTATCTATGATTTTCTATATTTTTCCACGATCGCCTTTTCCGATTTCCTTCTGCTTTTTGCTAAATTCATTTCAATGCCGGCTATTTTTGTTGCAATGTGGCGCACATGTTGGACATTCAGTGGGTCATAAATATTGAATGCGACGACGTCCAGAGAGCCCATTCCCCAAAAGTCCAACTGGAATAGCATCAAGATCTATAGGTACTATATTTATAAACTATAGAAAAGTTACCCCTGGGGGGGACTTACTTCAATTGCAATTGGCTCTAGTTGGTGGGGGAGGAGAGCTTCCGCGGACTAGAATGATTCCTTTGTGTGACAAATTGCCCGGTTTATTGTGTCTGTGGAGAGCCAAGATCCAAGATACAAGCTACAAGATACAAGATCCACAATCCAAGAAGACACACGAGCGATGACGGGGAGATCGTTGATCGCGTGAGTCGAGCGTCAAATGAATTCACTTGATGGGTGAAGTGCGAGGTCAAATCTTTGCGATGTCACAAAGCGAACGCACTCGCGGATACACCACATATACGTAGATGTAGATACAAGCACAAAGATACGCGCACGACGCACTGCAGATACAATCAACAAACAATAAGCGAGGCAAATTTACAACACTTTAACATTAATTTAATTTTTTATGCTATGTTAATTGCACTTTGTACAATGAATTTGTCTAGGTTTCTAAATTTTTGTATTTATTTGACATTTATTACACATTTATTCTTAGGATAAGCTAGTGGTTTAACTTATGTTTCCCCTTACATTAGTCACCTAAGAGTGGCTAGGTTTGACTTGATTTTATTTGAACAACTTTTAAATTATAAACTTTATTTAATTTGTATTTTAGGGTTTAATTATTTATATTTAATTTTATTTTTGATCATTTTACTGAGATCGTTTTGCACTTATATACACACTTTTTTTCACACTTTTCGACTAGAATTTCCACACTTTCGGGCTGGCACTGCGAGTGACATGATTTCCAAAAAAACTGCACTGGGCCACAAAAATATTATTTTATATATGCTGCACTTTGGATCGCTGTGTGCTTTTCTTTTCGGGCGTGTAAAAGTGAAAATGCGAGTGGGCGGCCACCGGGCAAGGCGACGGAAAAACGACGATGCGCGCGATTTTCTCGCGTGGGGCTCGAAGAACGTCCAAGATGGCACTGCCACCGCCGATCGTCTTGACAGGCCATGGAGCCGCCCAGCGGAGCGGTGTTATTTATTCCGAAAAATATAAATTATAAGTATAAATAATATTGGGAGGGGGAAATAAAAATTATGCATGTTTTTCTTATTTAGAACTTAATTGAATTCGCCAGGGGCGGCGGGAAAAGCGAGCCGCGTTGATCATAATTTAAATCAAAACACAAATTAATTTCCCGCTCCTCTCACTCTCTTTCACACACTGCACTTGCTGCTCTGTTTAATTTCTCAGGTTTTCGCGGAAAACTGTCAGCAAGTGTCCACCGGAGAGGAAAACCACAACGAGTGGGCGTCACCGGGCAGAGGCGGAGAGATGGTGGTAAGACTCTCGGCGATCTCTGATCTACGATCGATTTGCCTGCTTTTACGAGCTGTCCGAGCGGAACAAAACAGAACCATAACAGAACATCTGTTTTTTCTTTTATTTACGCGTTTCCCTAATTTCTCCTGATCTGTCCCCAGCTCTAGGTGTGCTCTGGGGCATTATTTTCTTTATTTTCCCATGACATGTTGTCAGGCGGATTAGTTTGGCCGTTAGTTTGACAGGCGCTATAAGTAGACACTCAAGTGGGTGGCAATCTAATTTGGCCGTGCT